GGCTTACAGGACAGTGCCCGTACAAGGAGCAGCTTAGGAATGAGCAAGACACAACTTGTCACTTCATTATCTATTCATTCATGAAACTGTGTGTCAAAGCCTCTGATGTACAGTGCACCTCTGCAGATTGCCCTGGTGTCTGGCTGCTCAGAACTGGCCTCCGGGAGATCTGCCCCAATTCCCCACCCACCATACACTTTCCCCTCTTACTTTCACAGGTATGCAGCACACAAAAACAATGGGAATATTAATTTCACTGAGGTCCAACCTAGTCAAACTGCGCCAGCGTCCTTTTAAACAGCCAAAGACACATTCTACCACTATTTTTCACTTGCTCAGCACTAAGTTGAAATATTCCTTACTGCTGTCCAGGCAGCCTGAGCAGTTTCATGAGCCACAGGAGCAAGGGGTAGGCTGGGCCTCCAAAGATAACTGTTAGCATTTCTGTATCTCCACTGGCAATTTTTAGTCTGGGAAGAAAGTTCCATCTTGCAGCTTTCTGAAGAGACCAGAGTTCCTGAAGTTCCTAAAGAGTTCATACAACTTTCCTAATAATCCCACATTGATGTAACAACTCTTCTGCTCCATCAGTACCTGCAACACCACTGAGAAGTACGCCTTGTGGTTTATGTAGTCTTTGGCAAGGTGGTCTGGTGCCCAAGGGTATGTCTACACAACCACCCTAGTTCAAACTAGGGTGGTAGTGTAGACATACCCCAAGATAGGAATGTGTGTTCCATCTATGCCCCACCAATTAGGATACCCCATCTGGGCAAAACCATCCACTATGTCCTGCACGTTCCCCAGAGTCACTACCCTTCCTAGAAGAACAGTGATGATTGCCCTGGCTGTTTGGATCACAGCAGCGCCCACCGTGGATTTACCACTCCAGAATAATTCCTGATTGACTGACAGCTGTCTAGCATTGCAACTTCCACGGGACTATTACCATTTGCTTCTCAACAGTCTCATTTTGGTATTGCTGTGCTTCAGGGTGGGGGAAAGCAAGTCGTGACATTCCATGAAAGTGCCCTTACACATGTGAAAGTATTGCAGCCATTGGTCACTGCCACGGATGCAAGACAAATCCACCAGGCTGTGCTTGTTTCCTGGGTTCAAAATCTGCATTCCACTCTGTCAACAAGCCCGCCTGCTGCCAGTATATGCCAATTGTTGCGGGGGGTCCTGCATGTTTGTGCACTTGGCCTCCTCACATTCTTCCTTGCATAGGGAGCTGCAGGATTGGCTCTTGACAAATCACAGTGCAAGGTGTTTGCAATGCTTGCCACAGCAGTGTGCAGCTGAGTGGGATCCATGCTTGCTACCCTATGGCATGAAAAAGGGTGCAAAATGATTGTTTGCCATTGCTTTCAAGCAGGGAAGGAGGAGATAAGTTAATCACAGGAGGCTGACGACATGTACCCAGAACCACCTGCATGACTGTGGGTGGTGGGGAAACTGAATAGCCAGCACTTGATAGCTTCCTGGCCAAAGCAGTCAGGATCACCTGTCAGAAGCTCCAAGATCTACCAGTAGATCCCGATCTACTGACTGGTGACCATTGCACTAAAGATTCCCTAGTGCTCTTTAATAGCATATTGTTTTTCTACACATACCAATTAATTGGTATGTCAACGTGTAGTCGACTACACAATTAACCGGTAAGCCTGGGCTAATTTGTTAATCTTATCGACTAAACACATTCTCCCGCCCTGCTGCCTCTGTATCAGAGGCAACAAGGGGATAGGGAGCCGATGCTTGTGAGGAGCTGGCTTTAAGCAGACTCCCAACGAGCACAGGATCCATCTGCTCCAGCGCTGCTGCCTCTGATAGAGAGGCAGTAGCGTGGAGGGCGAGGGGGGCAGGCTGGAGCCAATACCCACGGGGAGTCAGCTTTCAAACAGGCTCCATGCATGTGCCGGTTCTGTGGACCTGCCTGCCCCCTCCCTCAATTTCTGCCTCCTACAGAAGCAGCGAGAGAGAGGCAGGAGCCAATGCTCGGGGGAGCCGCCTTAAAAGCTGCAGCTGTATTAGAGGCAGCTGCATGGGATGGCAGGCAGACGGTCTGCACCGGGAACTGTTTTTTAAACTGGCACTCCTGGCAAACTGGCTCCCACCTGCCACCCCACACTGAGGCAGCAGTGCAGGATGGAAGGGGGCTCCCCGGGAATGGGGTTGGGAATGCACTGGCTGCCAGCCCCACCCCGGGACTATCAAATAGCTGAGATTAACTGCTAAGATTTCATATGGTTACACGACTATTCAGTTACACAGTATCTAACATCCTTACAATTAATATACAGTATGTTAGTACGTTTCAAACATTGTACTCCTGTAGTCAGCATTACCCGCACCATATAAACAGGCCCTTAGAAACCGAAAGACTTTTTAAAACAAAACTACACTAAATGTAAGGTACAATTATATAAGTTTTTAAAAGTTGTCTTTGCCTGCAGAATCTAAAAGGTTCCCTGTGTTCTGCAGCACTGTACACTGAAAACTTAATATTTTTTCTTTTAATGTACCTAATCAGAAATTAGGTATAAAAGTGAATCATTCAGTCATTACAATATTCCTTTTATTTTGCTATTCAATTCACATTATTTTGCATTAACTCCTATATTTTCAAACACAGATTTACATATTAGTGATGTGTAACTACGTTGAAGACAATGTCAGTTAAGAAAGCTGGTGGTTTGGTTTTAACACCTGGATGAGAAATGTTAACATCCAGGAAGGCATAGAAGGTAGCTTGGGATTGTGAGATAAGCAAGCATGGTCCAGAGAACAGCTGCTCTGTATCATTTGTACTGTACTAATATCTAGGAGCCCTAGTCATGGACTAGGACCCCAGGGTACAAGACAATGTGTAAATACACACAGAACTTAAGATGAAAATAAAACACCTGGAGGGGGCTTTGTGGTAGAGATAGGGGCCAAAAAAGCTGCCAAACCTCCATTAGAATATATTTGTGGCTCCTTTTGAAGAGCTGCGTAAAGCTATGTAAAAGAACTTTCAAGACCAGGACTCTGAAAAGTGAGGATGAGTAACTACAGCCCACAATAGTGTCTCTTCAGAGGTGTAAGGGGTACAGAAGTCTGGAGCATATGACTTATGAGGAGAGGCTGAGGAACTTGGGTCTGTTTAGTCTGCAGAAGAGAAGAGTGAGGGGGGATTTGATAGCAGCCTTCAACTTCCTGAAGGGAGGTTCCAAAGAGGATGGAGAGAGGCTGTTCTCAGTAGTGACAGATGGCAGAACAAGGAGCAATGGTCTCAAGTTGTGGTGGGAGAGGTCCAGGTTGGATATTAGGAAAAACTATTTCACTAGGAGGGTGGTGAAGCACTGGAATGGGTTACCTAGGGAAGTAGTGGAGTCTCCATCCCTAGAGGTGTTTAAGTCTTGGCTTGACAAAGCCCTGGCCAGGTTGATTTAGTTGGGATTGGTCCTGCCTAGAGCAGGGGGCTGGACTTGATGGCCTTCTGAGGTCTCTTCCAGCTCTATGATTCTAAGTCAAGGCAAGATGTGACTACCATCTGCTCTCCAGGACCAGCCCCCGGATCAGCTCAAGGGGCAGTGGGGACCACACAGTCCACCTACCATCTGCTACAGGGGCCAGCTGTTCCCCAGGGCTGGGGCACTTGCTGCTCCCCTGTGGTCATTCTGGGATATAACTGTCCCCATTCTTGCTTTCTCATTGAGGTCATTTGTGAATATAACTGTGCCTGCTATCACACCCCTCCCTTTCAGTTGGATGAAAATCACATTCCCATTGTCCCAGCACAACCAAACCCTAAACTTGGTTTAAGTTATGATCAGAGGAAGCTGCACATAGAATTAGGAGGAGTTCTTGAAGAAACAGAATCGCAGATGGACACAGACACACAAACTCTCAAATATGTAGCAGATACATAAAAAAGCTTTGGGAGGAAATAAGAAACCCAAATGCCTAAATGGTTAGCTGCTGGGGGAAAAAAACATTTCATTTCTTGATATTTTACAAACATGCAGTCTACTAGCTGCATAATAAGGTATCTAGCAGGGAGTCTGTAATAATCTGTCCAGCTTTAAAAAAACGAAACAGGAAGACCCAAGAATTCAGAAAACTGTAACAAGACAAATGACACAAAGGGAAAGGAAAGTCATGCTGAACATTGGAATAAATCTTGAAAGAAAATATATGGACGTCTCAATGCTCTTTTTATTCAGTTATTTTGCAGATCACAAACTTCAAAAGGAACACGAGGCTAATAGAAGTGTTCAATCTTAACAAGCGTGCAGTAAGTTTCAGAGGGGTAGCCATGTTAGTCTCTAAGGTGCTGCAAGACTAACAAAAAATGCAGGTGCTATGTGCTTTTGTGGGCACAACCTACTTCTTCAGATGAATGGAGTTTAAGGGGTCCAGTTTTCAAATAAATAGCACAGAGTGGATGGGGGGGGCAGAAGAGGAGGAAAAAAGAAATAAAGAGGAAAGAAGCTGTCAATTACAGTGTGTATACTAAATGAAGCTGATGAGAATACTTACTACCCACTTTAAGTGCCCTTTGTTTGGTTTTTTACGTCATTAGGATGTGGACTGTAGTGGGCCATCCAGCCAATTTCTTTGTTTAGATTTCTATTGTAGGAATCAAACTTGTAAATGAAATTAAGTTCTGTAGCTTCCCTGTCAAGCTGGCTTTTGAAATTGGTTTGAAAGAATACGATGACTTTGAGATCCATTAATGAGTTCCCAGGCAAGTTGAAATGTTCTCCAACAGGTTTGTGTGTGTTGCCTTTTTGGCTATCTGATGTGTGTTCATTAATTCTCTCTCGTAGAGACTGTCCACTTTGGCCAATATACATGGAAGAGGGGCATTGTTGGCACTTGATGGTATATTTGTTGTTTTTTAAGAGTGCAGTAAGTAACTATTATAAATAAAACATTGCACTGACTTTCAGTAAACAGCCTTAGCAAGCAGAGGTTACAAACCTTACATATGCACCCGAACAAACATTACTCACTTCTTATACTTGTGGCATCACCATTAGTTAGGAGCTCAGGATCTACCTGCATCCCATCCAGACAAACAGACAAGTCTCCTATTACCTCTGCTGGTTCTCGGTCACTGACAAGCTGCAATGTCACAATCACTTGCTCAACTATAAAAGAAAGCACAGAAAAAATCAGAGGCTTCCCTTTAGTTAACATACTACATTTTATTAAAGAAATCCCCAAAAATCGACAGGCAAGGATTACAAATAGAACAATACCTCTCACTCTCCATAGGAATAATAATGCTTTTTGCAAGCTATCATGTCAAATTTCAGTAGGTATTATTCCCTTAAAGACAGGGAGGACTGAGACAGAGCAGTCAACTGGCTTGCCCACAGAAAGAACACCAGCATTAGAGCAGGAGTCAGGATTCTATAGTCTCTAGGGGTAAGTCTACACTACCAGCCTAGTTCGAACTAGGGTGGTAATGTAGGCAACCGGAGTTGCAAATGAAGCCTGGGATTTGAATTTCCCGGGCTTCATTTGCATAAAGCCGGGCGCCACCATTTCAAATGAAGCCCAGGATTTGAATTTCCCGGGCTTCATTTGCATTTTGCCGGGCGCCGCCATTTTTAAATCCCCGCTAGTTCGGACTCTGTGCCCGTGGCTACACGCGGCACGGAGTAGGTAGTTCGGATTAGGCTTCCTATTCCGAACTACCGGTACACCTCGTTCCACTACCTAATCTGAACTACCTACTCCGTGCCGCGTGTAGCCGCGGGCACGGAGTCCGAACTAGCAGGGATTTAAAATGGCGGTGCCCGGCAAGATGCAAATGGAGCCCAGGAAAGTCAAATCCCAGGCTTCATTCGCAACTTCAGTTGCCTACATTAACCACCCCAGTTTGAACTAGGATGGTAGTGTAGACATACCCTAGCTTATATTTTTTTAAGACCACTAAAAAACATTTTGGAGCTCACTTTCAAAACATCTTTTAAGAACCAGAAATCACAATATTCTTCATGAAGTGTATATAGAAATGTTATCTACAGGCAAAAATATTTATCCAGTTACTGGAAAAATGTATATTTAAAAACATGAAGATTTTGTCTTCCATCTACAGAAGGAAGGGAATTTACTTTTACAGGCTAAGCCACTGCATCTAGTCATAACGGAGCAAGTTTAAGATAAATATATTTGCAATATGACATTTAAACATGCAAGCACACAAACAAAAACACCCTGAACGTGCCTATTTGAGTTTGATGCCAGACCATGACTCAGACAGTATTTATCTTAAAAAATATATATATATTTTCTGTAGCTTTTTTTAAAGCTATCTTCAGTTTGATTTTTCACTTCCCACATTTCACTTCTTATTCCACACCAGTGACATATAAAATACAATGTTTATAATATCACTATAATAAAAACACGGCAAGACAGACTATGCTGCATCATCAGGCAGAATGAAATAAATTGCAAGAGAAATACAATCAGTAGACAAAAAGGAGCAGTTATACTTCAGATAGATTTTTAAATTGTCACATTGTTTGTTTAACTCTTAAAGGAATTCCAAACGCACAACAACTTGAACTTCCACATAAATGCAAGTCTGGCAGATTTCATACAAATAAGGTACATTTTTTAGTTACAGACTTACGTTTCATATTGTTTGATTTCAATGTCTCACGAACGTCTAGAGTAGCACTACCCAGCAGAACATCAGACTTTAATGTCTGATGGCTCCAGACTCGAAAGTTTAATTTACTGACAGGGGTGACAATTCTGTTGGGAGAAAAAAAAGCATACAGAGAGAGCATGACAATGGTGAACACTGGGCAAAATGGTTATAAACAACTATGATACACATCAGTTTTTGTTTAAAAACAAAGTTTACTGAAAATAAAAATGGTAAGATTTAACCAACAAATTTTAAAGATCTTTTTAAAAATTCTAACAGTTTAAAATACTACGTGGATGATGGGAAAACACAATTCTTGACAAAGAAAGAAAAGTCAAAATAGCTGCTAAAAACGTTCATATTTGGGTCAGAGAGTGGAGATTGTTTGAGTTCAATCATACATGTAAAACTATTAATTGTTACAAGTAATATCTAAAATTATTGTAACGACAGTATTAGAAAAATATTGCCTTTAATTTCAAAAACTGTGTGTATGTTCATTTTTACTGTTTATCTTGCATGATCCTTCCCACAAAGCAATAGGGGGGAGAAATTTTTTCAAAGTAAAGCCAGAACATGAGACACCTTCATGAATGGCTCAAATGGAAGTCCTCAATTCACACTGAGAACCAGGTTAAAACTCCATGAATTAACGTTGTGCTCTCCAAGAGGATGTAGAAGAGATGCTGCTCTCCAAAATAAAGGCTGAGCATCTGGGTAAAATGAAATCTACTACCCTACCTAACAGCACTAAGAATGCTAAACAAAGCAGCCCCTTGAGATATGAATTTCAGAACTGAGTGCAGGCTGAAGAGAATCCATGGACATGTATTATATATGAGTGTGACCTCTGTACTAACAGCAAAGGGTCTCAACTAGGTCTTTGCATTCATTGAGCTAGATTTCTTTCTGGAAGATAAGTGTGTGCACATTACCTGTCATGGACAAACTTTTTGACTTAAGAATCTCCTTTCAAGAGCGATATAGCTAAAGCTAAGACTGTCTGGATTCAGATACAGAATGACCCTTGTAGTACCAGACTATCTGGATGGAAAGAGTATGGGAGATTTTAGTGGCATGTTGAGGAAGTCAAAGAACCAAGGCCTTCTTGTCCTGGATGGAGCTATCAGAATTGTGATGGTGGGTGTGTTAGAAGCCTCATCTTTTCAGCATTGATTTGTCACACTGCACAATGTGAGGGGGAGCTTAAAGGAAACAGATTTTGCCTCCTAGAGATGACCCCTGAATCAGACTTCAGAATATAAAAGGGGTCAGGAGGGGTTTTTTTGGGAGGGGGTCAGCTAGAGAGACCTGAACATTTGATGGACATTTCCTTTTGCTGCCACTGACCCTCCTAGATGGGGTTAGAAATTTCAGACCGAGTCCTCTAGAGAGAGACCTTGTGGTTCCACTTTTCAGAAGGGTTCTTGTTTTGAGAAAGAAAGAGTAAATGAGAGTTTATGCTGGACTGTTCCAGGGTCCCAGCTTTTGTTCCAGGGTGATTCTTGGATACAGACTGGCCATAAGGTGACCCTAACCCAAGGGCATCAGGCTCCAACCCTGGAGGTTCAAAGGAAGTTCAAAGTTTGCTGCACTGGGAGCTAGAGGGGGGCTGACACTGTGGACAGGCTATTGCCTGGACATGACAGAGAATGGGGGGAGAAGTTGGGCGAGAGAGTGACTCTCCTTGCTCTGTTTGCTTTAAATCCCTGTCAGTAGCGGCCTACCACAGCTGGGAGGGAAGATTCCATGACCTAAGAAGTTTTTTTTCAACCTATACTCCATCTGCTGAGGTGGGAGGGAAAGCAGTCGCTGGTGCTGGGCACAGATTAATTCCTTTGACAGGTCTTTAGAACACTACGAACACCTCAACATACATTCCATAAATTCCAGCTCATGTGATCATGCCTGAATATTCTACTGATGCCAATCACATTCTACTGAAATGAAAGCAGCACAGATCTTTAGTGGAAGGGTTAAGGGACATCAAAGACTATCAGCTTATTTTGGCCTTTTTTCTCCCATCAGGTATCATGGAAGAAAACAACAGGAACAATTAAATTGCAAATTTTAGAATGTCCAAGGAGAATAAAAGTCTTTTGTGGCTACCACAGCAAAGTAATAGCTATGACTGACTGGAAAAACATCTTTTCATCACTATTTGTCAATTCATCGAAATCTAAACATTTCACAAAGACGGTTCAATTTTGACAACATTCTGACAGGACCCAGATAGGATTCTGAAAGAAACCTAACTGGTTTCCTGCAAAGTTTTCTGCCTGGTAGAAGCCCAACAGCCCGGAAGCACCAGCCCCCAGGCTCTCAGCAACCCAAACTTCCTGAGACCACAGCTTTGGGGAAGCCCAGCAGGTGGACAGAGATACAATAGGGTACTCTAGGGTTCCCAGCTTTAGGCCAGCCCACCAAGCAGTCTTCTCCAAACTCAGGACTCCATTCCCTTTCACAGGGAATTTTGAGACTCTTGGTTTTCATTCCAAAGGGGAACTAAACCAAACTCTGAAATATCAAAAATGTCAACAAAACAGATTACACATTCTCTGCCCAGCTCTACCAGTAACTTAGTTTACACGTTCATTCCGTTTCAGTGCAGACTGAATAGGATCAATGTGCAGAAAACGTTAATATACTGATGTGTGTTGGGCAACAAACCTGGGAACGAAAATACTTTGCATCCTGTAAATTTAAAAAAGCAGGTTGTTGAGATTAAAAAACAAACGGATTTTGCTACACAACTGGCTCTTGGAAAGTTAGTGTTTTAATGTAGACGAAACATACAGATATTGTTCCCTTAAAAATGTCTCTTCAATGTTGGGATACAAACCAAATGGAGAAGAAACCAACTTTGCATCTTGAGGTAGGCAGATGTACGTAATATTATACTAACCAGGGTCCTCCTAAGTTCTCTCAAGCAGTATTTCTAGAACATAAGTGCTACCAGAAATGCTAACAGCTGCATACAATTTCTGTTGATTCCAATGTTCCATATGATGCATTTGAGGGCATTGCTAGAGACCTGAGTTTCAGGGAAGATAAAGAAGTTCTCTTTTGTGGGTACATTCACATTTGCATTGGAATCTGGATCCCTGCAAGTAGGAACCACCCAAAAGCATGCGCTAAAATATAACCTGCTATAGAACTAACAATATGGCACAACAAATAGCCATGTCTTGAAACCAGGGTCCAAAAATTTGAGACAATGCTTCCTTGGTAAATATGTACTGAACAAGTGAGCATGAGAATTTCAGCTCTATCACAGATTTTCCTTACTTTTTATAGGTCATGTCACAAAGCAGCTTTATTTGCATATCATATGTGGTAATATGGAATATATTCCTATGTTCACACTGCATTCCCTCCATGCCTCATAAGTTAACACACAGCACTTACGTAAATGCTCCATACTATAGCATCCTCATATATCACCCTTTTCTTTAATAAGAAACAGATTTGTCCTATTGTGCTATAACAAAGAGTGCATGGTTTAGAAATGATTTGACATTAATTGCCAATAATGTAATAATTATTAAATGTTATAAATTGATCTGTAAAGCAAAACCAGCTTCAAACCTACACTGTAAGATGTTGCTTCCACTTCGGACTATTTGTATTGTTGCATTTTTCTGTCTTCTTTGACTGTCCATCAACTGAGACTTCCACATAAGGGCTAGGTCCAAACCATTTATTTTTATTTTCTTTTAATTTTGCTGAGATAACTGTTAAAAAAGGGGGAAAACAATAAATATTCTATTCTATTCAATTAACTATATGCATTTTGAAAACTAGCTACATTCCTGTAAAAACTCATTTGTTAAGAATTATAGAAAGTAGCTATGGCTACAATACAGTGACATGCAACACAGCTCAAACACCACCTACCTAAAGACTACTACACAGCAATTACCTTTACGTTGGACTTCATCACTAAGATGACGGATCACAATTTTGTATATTATGATTTCAAATCAAAGAAGAATTTGATGCAGACACTGGATTTGAAGAACTCAGCTGCTCTGAGAGCAAAAAGATCAGCGCTCCATCACTAGCTGAGTGTATGAAAGTCTTCCCACACTAACATGGCTAGAAGGTTACAGCTACAGCTGACTTCTAGGAAGCTAATGTATACTAACTAGGGCGGTGTCCATTGCTCTCTTCAAAGAGGTTGAATTGTTCTGACTATGCCTGATACTGCAGGTGCCTGCTTGATTCATCCTACTCTGCCTGGATAAGAAGGCACATGTAATTGCTTAGGAGGACTAGTCAAGATTTATCTGGTTTTTGGTTCCTTATAATGTGTGCAATGCTGATTTCTTTACAGAAAATCTGACGAAGATATGTATGTGTGTTATGTGCAAGTTCATTACCTGAACATCTAAATTTCCTTGATGGGATTTCCATTATTTGAATGTGAACCTCATTAACTGAAGGCTCTTGGTTAGCCAAAAGTTAGATGAGTCCTTTAATGTTTAACATAAAACATATGAAATTTATATCGGAAGCTTTATAATCAGAACCCGTAATTGTTTAAACTGTACAACAAATAGTAGCAGCAACCCATATTTACCCATTATTATTCAAAGGAAAGTCCTGTCACTCCACTGCATTCAAATACACACAGTACTTCCCTATACTTGTAACTGTTCTTCAAGATGTGATGCTGTCAGGGACCAGTGACGAATAACTGTTCTTCAAGATGTGATGCTGTCAGGGACCAGTGATGAATAAAAAGGAATAAGCACTTCCCTTGATCTGCTGGCAGACTAATATGCCGTTAGCCTTCTTGGCAACAAGGACACGCTACTGACTCCCATACAGCTTCTCATCTACTGCAAGCCTCAGGTTCTTTTCTGTACAACTGCTGCCTTACCAGTTGGCCCCCATCCTGTAGCAGTGCTTGGGATTTTTCCATCTTAGGGGGTAGGACTTAATATTTGTCCTTGTAGGACCACATCAGATTTCTTTTGGGCTAATCCTCCAACTAGTCTACGTCACTCTGGATCCTCTCTCTGTCCTCCAGTAGGGATGTTATCGTGTAGACGACTACACGATTAACTGATAAGCCTGGGCTTATTGGTTAATCTTGTTGATTATACACATTTTCCCCTAAATGGGGAGCGGGCGCAAGTACCTGTGAGGAGCTGGCTTAAAACCGGCTCCCCATGAGCACTGGATCCACCAGCTACCCACTGCTGCCGCAGAGAGAGGCAGCAGCATGGAGGGTGAGAGGGGCAGGTTGGAGCCAATACGCGCAGGGAGCTATCTTTCAAGCCAGCTCCCCTTGTACATCAGCTCCCGTGGACCCACCTTCCCCCCTGCTTTCTGCCTCCTACAGAGGCAGTGAGGGAAGCTCCCCAGTGCTACCTAACCCCTCTGCGCTGCTACCTCTGACAGCAAGAAAGCTCTTGCTGCTCTGCAGCAGCAACCCCGTCTGTGGCGGATCTGAGCTTCCTGCGGACAGAGGCTGCTGCCACGGAGCAGCCTCTGCTCTTGGGGAGCTCGGACCCTTCACGGACAGGGGCTGCTGCCACCCCGTGCTACTGCCTCTGTATCAGTGGCAAGAGTGCAGAGTGGCAGGCAGCTGCTCTGGGTGGGGAGCTGTTTTTTAAACTGGCTCCCCTTATGGACCAGCTCCCGCCTGCCACTCCACCCTATTGCCTGGCAGTGCAGGATGGCAGAGGGGTCCCTGGGACCGGGGCCAGGAGTGTACTGGCTGCCTTCCACACTGCTCGGGACTATTGAATAGTCATGTAACCGCTAAAATGTCATGCGGTTACCCGACCATTCAGTTACACGATATCTAACATCCCTACCCTCCAGCATATTAGAACTACCTCTCCGTCCAGCTCACTGTCATTCACACACTTGCCGAGGGTGCAACCCATCTCATCATCCAGATCATTAATGAAGATGTTGGACAAAACCTTACCCAGAACCGACCTCTGGGGTACTCCGCTTGATGTCTAGGGACTAGCTGCTGACTAGACATCAAATTACTCATTGAGCCTGAAGATCTAAACAGCTTTCTATCCACCTTCTAGTGCATTCATGCAGGCCCCACTATTTTAACGTAGTGGCAATAGTACTATGGGACACCGTATCAAAAGCTCTGCAAAAAAGTCAAGATATCTCACATCCACCACTTCTGCCATATCCACAGAACCAGTCCTCTCATCATTCAAGGGAATTAGGTTAGTCAGGTATGACCTGTCCTAAGTAAATCCATGTTGACAGCTCCTGATTGCCGCCGCCTCCTCCTCCAAGTGTTTCAAAACTGATTCCTTGAGGACTTGCTCCATGATTTTACCAGAGTCTGAGGTGAGATTGACTGGTCTGTAGTTCCCTGGATCCTCCTCCTTCCCCTTTTTGAAGATGTGTATTACAATATATCATCTGGGACCCTTATCTGATCACCAAGTGTTTTCAAAGATAATGACCAATAGGCTCTGCAATCACATCAGCCAACTCTCTCAGCACCCTTGGATGTACCCCATGAACTTGTGCCTATCGGCTTTTCTAAATCGTCCGTAACCTGGTCTTTCAATACTGAGGGGTGCTCACCTCCCCCCTAGAGTGTGTTGCCCAGTGTAGTGGTCTGGGAGCAGACTGTGAAAATTGAGGCAAAATGCATTGAGTACTTCAGCTTTTCCCACAGCTTAGGGTGCCACTGCAGGGTTACTTTGTCTCTGGAAAAAGGTGTGCAAAGAGACTCTGTCATCAAAGCCTGCAACTCTCTTCCCTTACAGAGGTTATCTCTACGCTATAAGTCCAAGATACCTTCCAAAAACACTTGAACTTATAGCAAAACAACTTAAAGCAGGGAATTTTTTCCCTGCATCTGACTTCCATTTGCACAATTTTTTGTTCCTTGCATGACTTAAGAGCAGGGAATCTGAGGACTTCAGATGCATCAGTTCCTACAAGTGTCAATGACTTTGGTGTGGAACAGATGTTGATTTATAGCAGGGATATCCTGTATAGGAAAAACGGTTTCACACAAAACAAAGTTGTCTTCTTAAATACAAATCAACCATAGTGCTGATTAGGCTGGACAATAGGAAAAACTTCCTAACTGTCAGGGTGGTTAAACACTGGAATAAGTTGCCCAGGGAGGTTGTGGAATCTCCATCTCTGGAGATATTTAAGAGCAGATTGGATAGACATCTGTCAGGGATGGTCTAGACCAGCAGTCCCCAACGTGGTGCCCGCGGGCGCCATGGCACCCGCCGGGCCATTTCTGTGCGCCCATCGAGTGACTGGGGTTGGCCCCGCCCCTAGGCGCATGGGCGGGGCTTGCCCCTGGGCACGCAGCGTATGGGTGGTGCCAGCCCCTGGGCGTGCGGCGTATGGCCGTCCCCTCCCCGGGCACGCGGCACAGGAGCGGCGCCAGCCCCGGGCATGCAGCTTATGGGCTGTTCCGGCCCTGGGCGCACGGCGTATGGGCAGCCCCGCCCCTGGGTGTGCGGCACAAGAGCGGTGCCGACCCCGGGAGTGTGGCGCAGGCACCGGGCACACGGCGCATGCACAGCCCCACCCCCGTGTGCCTGGCGTGTGAGTGGTCCCACCCTCGGCAGCCCCAAAAGGTTGGAGACCACTGGTCTAGACAGTACTGGGTCCTGCCATGAGGGCAGGGGACTGGACTCAATGACCTCTCAAGGTCCCTTCCAGTCCTAGTGTTCTAGGATTCTATACTGCCAGTCACATCTTAACTACGTACACAAGCTTTTTATTATTTTCTTTTCCAGGAATGGGGAGAAAACATTTAATCTTTTGAAAGACTTACCAGTAATCTGAAGCTGTGATTTCATTCCTGATCTTGGCCCAGTGCCAGCCATATTACGAACTGGGCCTTGAATCTGAAGGAGAAAGCAAGGTAGATATTTTAAACCCAACAGTAAAGTCTAAAATTAAAATTCTCTATTTTTTGTCATGCATGTTCAGGTTGCGCCTCCCTAAAGCGAGACTCCCTTGTCCGACAACAGATGCTCCTTGATGAGAGCCTCAGGACAGGAGGGGCAGCAGCTGGGAGCCCGGGGGGCTGGAGCTTCAGCATGACCGAGGACAGCTGGCAGCCAGGCCGAGGCTAGGGACTGTCAGCAGACAACCCAGCTGGGGTGGAATGAGCCAGCAGGCAGGGTGAGGTGGAGAGCTGAGAGGCCATAGCAAGGGACCCCCTCTTGGTCCAGCAAATTCCCTCCTTCAGGACTGCTCATGTCCCAAGAGTGCCGGACCAGAGAGGTCCAACCTATATAACACATTGAGGATAAACACATGACACTTGTTTTCCTGGCAACTATGTTTCCATTTTGCCTTGAGTAGAAGATCAACTCTGCTTATTAGTCACATAGTATCCAAAGATCACCACCACACTCAGCTGTCACCCTTCCTGTTTCATGTGGTCATCCCTCTCCACTTCCCCACTCTCAAAGAGAAGGTTCTCCTAACCTGTCTGACCACCTCATTTGTGGAAATCTCCACCCTCCTGATGCCCAGAAATCCAGAATAGTCAGGTGGCAAACACCAAAAGCAGTAGAGGTAGAACAAGTAGAGCGACTGCTCCTTCCCTTCCTCTGCACTACCAAAATAAGATTATCCTTGCTATTTACCGTGTACATTTAATGTAAATTTCAAAATATTCAGTGGAAGACAAATATTTTGATTTGTTTGTACTAAGTCAGGTCCAGTCCACCGCTGTAGCTCCTGGCTCTACAAAGCACTATTCAAAGAGCAAACAGAGCAAGTCTCGTCTCATGATGCAAAGATGCCCTCCATTTAGGTCACCATTGCAGCAGTTTTCCCTTGCTTTTTCAGTTTCCAGGCTCTCCTCCCCCTCCTCCCACCACGCTCTGGAGTGGAGGGAGGTTCTCCTTACACCACTGATTTGAAGGCAGAGTACCTAGCCCAGTGGTCCCCAACCTTTAGAGGCTCCCAGGCGCCTGGGGGCGGGGCCACTCACGTGCCGGGTGCCCAGGGGCGGGGCCGCACGTCCTGGGGCACGCCAGGGGCAGGGATGCCCTTGCACCCAGCGCCGGCATGTGCCCCAGGGCTGGAGCCGCCCGAGCGCCTTGTGCTGTGGGCCCGGGGCCGGCGCCGCCACCTGAGCCACACACCTGGGGCCAGGGCGCATACAAATGCCCCGGTGGGCGCCATGGCGCCCGCGGGCACCGCGTTGGGTACCACTGACCTAGCCTGAAAAGAACAAGGCACATCAGAGCCACAGATCTGTGACGCAGCTCTCAACTGACAAGCTAAATGGAAATAAAACCTGGTCTCACCTGAAGAAAAAATTTCCTTTCCATACAAGCTTTTATCCTGGTTTAGCAAAGATTTAAAAATCATGTGGGCGCCATGGCGCCCGCGGGCACCGCGTTGGGTACCACTGACCTAGCCTGAAAAGAACAAGGCACATCAGAGCCACAGATCTGTGACGCAGCTCTCAACTGACAAGCTAAATGGAAATAAAACCTGGTCTCACCTGAAGAAAAAATTTCCTTTCCATACAAGCTTTTATCCTGGTTTAGCAAAGATTTAAAAATCATACATTGAGCTAAAAGTCAATACAAATGTCTCATGTAGACAAGTCTTTACTAATGGATGGATGCTAGAGGAATAAGAATGTAGTTCATATTCTTAGCTGGCATCGTAGATATGTTATTGTATCAATGCTTTCTGTATCAAACACTCAGCTACAACCAAAAACATAATTTAAAAATAAACAAAAACCCACCCCATGAGGCTCACCCGTTAACCATGTAAACAATTACACTTTCACATCCCTACCCAGGACTCCATAATATAAAAAGGTACCCATGTAAGAAACTTTTCATTATAAATCAACTGAGTATCATGCTACAAAAATCATAAATATATTCCTTAAAAACTGAAAATGAACTGAAAATGAAGACATTACACTGTCTTCTTTATCATATAGAAAAATACCTTAGGATGAGCAGAGAAACTGTTTTTTGACACGGAGCAAAATAATTCAGTGCTTGACAGAGAGGTCAGTGATTGTTTTTGACGTCTCACAGTTACAGATTTTTTTCCAGGAAGTTAATCTTCATGACCAAAGTCCCTTGTAGCATGTGGAACATTATTAGTAAGCTATGTTGCTTTGCTCCCTAACTTAGAAG